ATCTGGAAATGTGGTGGTTTGCCGAGTGAATGTGAGCGAGAGGGAAGGAGAGGCCGGGACGATTCTGGGGGTGGAGCAGCTGTGCACTGCCTGGGACGCGTCTGGACAGGGCACGAGCAAGGGAGGTAGGAGTTTAGTTTTGGATACGTTCACCTTAAAACGCCTGTTAGACACCCAAGGGAGATGTTAAAAAGGCAGCTATACGAGTCTGGAGATGGAAAAGTGGGAGTTCTAAGCGTCTCGATGGGGAAGCAGACATCACCGAGCGCATGAGTGTCAGCAGAGAGAGGAGGACGGAGCACGGAGCCCTGGGGCCAAACGGGTTGGAGCCAGCTGGACAGTCACAAGAGTCCTGGCGAGACATCTGGCCCATCGCTGGGTGTGTCTATTCCAATTACACATCCCAGAACTGGAGGGAAAAAACACAGGATGGGCTTGGGGACTCACCGACCCACTGTGAGATGGACCTGGACTAAACCCGTTGACCACCTGACCACCATAAACCTCTACTCTGTCTGGTGGACGACACTGATGTCGTAGGTCTCTTGAAATTAGTGTCGGTTCAGAGCCAGTGTCCAGTAAAACTGGAAAAGTCTGATTATTTCCTTTTCCCCATGCAGTCGCCCTGGTGTAAGGCTGTACGTCCCCTTGGGGAAGGCTGAAGGAAAGGTGAACAGTACAAGTTTTTAGCAGTGTAGCAGGCTCCCCCCACCCCAAGGGAACCTGATTGTCCATTTATTTAGAAAGTTTACTAGCCCGTTGTCAAACATAGCTATGATTTAAAATTAAACTACGTAAACTTAGAATTAAAGAAATCATGTTAAAAACAAAAGTAATAAATACGCACGATGCATCACTTTCTTATTATTTTACTACATTCTACCATTATCTAGCTCCGGAGAGCATTCGCCTCCGCGTGGTAGAAACAGTTACATGTGAGCTGCCACCGTGTGTCTCTTTGCAACTCTGAGTTAGGTGACGTTGCATCGAGGACTTGAAATTGGCCGTAGTGGGAATATTTACACCATGGAAATCGGCCAGGGCTGCCCATCGGGACTCCATTGATTATTTTGTTGGTTGCGTAGACTTCAGGAAGCGATGAAGAAAAAGTTAGGCAGATGAAACTTAAAGCAAGCCGTATTTCAGCCAGCGCATTATGATTGGCACAAAAACGCTGAGGAAGTTTTCTTCCAGTATCATCCGACTTAGTAAAGAAGCTGCTGGCGTCACTGATGGAGCGAGGTGTGCCGCTGTCATTGTTTCCACTTTCATTTTCCTCTCGGACATAAACGACAGTATCGATCGACATTCACATCACACAGCAGATTTAACGACAGCCAGTTTATTGAGGAAAGAATTAGCGGATTGGGACGCAACTTTGTGCGTGGAATGGTACTCGAATTGCAACCACGGTGTTGGCTGTAGTTACAAGAGAGGCATTCTGTAAGAGTCCATTTGTACAACGAATTTTACAATACAGAGTGATATACATTGTCCTATTATTTGTAGGTTGTGTGCTATACATAATTTATATCAGTAAAATTTATGACAAACTTATATATGTGCCCTCCCCTAGCCCCATCTGCTTGGTCATCAACCATCTGGGACCCTCTGGATGTCAGGGAGGGAGAAAGACGCAGCAGAGGAGACAGACAGAAGCTGGGAGGTTCGAGGCCAGGTGGGAAAGTTGAAGGGCAGTTGGTCATTTGGGTCAAATGCCTCTGCTAGGTCACCAAGAGGAAGAAGAGAAAGGATCTTTGGATTTTGCAACAGCATGGTTCAGAGGGCACAGTGGGGATGATGGCCGAAGAAATGAAGGTGTGGGTGGACCAGGGAGGATGATCAGGGCGACGTTTACAGCATACGCACATGCTTGGTGACGGAGACCGAGAAGGGGACAAGGCCGGAGCGATGCCTTTAAGTAGGGAGGGTGCCCCCAGGGAGGGACGGGGCCACTCGTCCGTTGTCCCAGGAGGGCAGGCATGGATGTGTGTGCAGAGGCAGCTGGGCCGGCAGATGAAGCGGAGAGAAGGCGGAGGTTGCCGTTCTGAGAGAGGAAGGGGAGCAGGCGAGGGAGGTTTCCAGAGAGAGGAAAATGTATGGAATGGCTTTCTAGAACCACGAAAGAGAACAGAGCCCTGGTGAAGGGAAGAGAGGACAAGAGCGAGCGAGGGCTGGTGAGAAGCGGGTAGACACGGCTCAGCCTCCAAGGGTTGCAGGTCCCAGTGGAAATGAAAGCTTGGGGTGGGGGCGGGCGTGTCAGATGGAGTGAGCTGGCAGCTGAGGGTGGCATCAGAGTGAGCTGCTGGCAGGGGAGTTTGTAGCAGGTTCAATTCTTAGTAATGACAAAGTCCAGGGTTGGCCCCCAGAAGAGGGGGGCTGAGGATCCCCGGAATAGAGGAGGTCAAGAGACGGAGGGGGCAGGGAAATGGCGTACCGCCCATGGGGCTATTGAAATGAGAAATGGTGATAACAGTGCTGGAGACAGGCGTGAGCCGACATCCTCAAGGAATGAGGACCGCGTGATAATGACGTGGAGGTGACAGTGAGGAGCGAGGAGGAGCCTTGCCAACCAGGCCCCGTGGGTGGTCGGAGGGAGCAAGGGAGAAACAGCCCCCACTGAGAAGGCTGCGGGGAGACCATGTCTGCTGCAAGGAGCAGGTGTCTGTCAGAGGGCAAAGGCCAAGGAAATCCCCAGATGTGGCTGAGACCACCATGCGATGATGGCTTACGAGAGTGGCTGGGAGTCAGGGAGGATGGGAGCCGGGGTCAGATTAGACGATGAGAGTCTGGGGGACTTGAGTTTCTATGGCGACCAATTAAACGGTGGTGAAGGTCATGTAAGGTCATGAGAAGATTCCTGAAGGTATAATGGCTCGTGGGGACGATGAGTGTGGGGTGAGGGAGGTGGGTCTGGCCAGCAGCCTGCAAGGCTCTGGGGCCCCTCTCCCCCCAGCCTCATCTGTAAAGTGAGAGGAGTAGTAACCGCCTAGTGGGGCTGTGGTGAGCATCAGAGAGCCAGGCACAGAACTGGGACTGTTGTAACTATGACCAATGTCCCCGTTGTCAATGGAGGCAGTTGTTTGATGTGGGTCAGGGAGGGGTGTCTGGTTTCTTCAGAGGGTTTAATATTTGGGTGGGTTCTTGGGAGTCCAGGAAAGGATGGAGGCAGGAGCATATATCAAAGGACCTCGCCGGCCCTGCCATCTTTGCATCAGGTGGGCATTTGTAAGTGGGCGTGATCCTGGGTGATGATCTCAAGGCTGATGGCTCTGCCCTGGCGGACTGCAGCGGAGAGGCCTGACACATAGAGAGGGAGAAACGCCGACATGGGGTTGCCTCGTCGGACTTCCTCTCTAGGCTGTGAGCTCCACATGGCCCAGGGCCTCAAGGATCACTGGGGCTTAGCACAGTGCTCAGCAGAGGGAGGCACACAGTTCATGTTTGTTCGGGGAATGAAGAGGGACAAGATGCACTGACAGAGGCTCTGTGGGCTTAGCTCAGGGTGCCTGTAGCCTGAGTTTGCATCCTCTTCCCTATGGCCCAGGAAGGCTGGCCCCTAAGTGCTGTGGCTGGGAGCAGCTGGTGGTGTGAGCAGTGTGGAAGCTCCGAAGATGAATACCCCGGGCTGGCACCTGACAGACTGAAGGTTTCTTGACCCCCTTTTCTGGAGCCCAGGGCTCTGGGGTATCAGGTGCATGTGATGCACCAGGTGGATGGGGAGAAGATGCCCTGGGTACCAGTCAAACTCTTAGTACAGTTGGGCCTGAGTTGCCCTGCAGAGTAGGGAAAACCGAATCCATTCACTTATTTAACAAGGATTTATGAGCACTGACTATGTTAGAGGTGCTGGGGATACTGCAGCGAGCAAAATAGACAAAACTCCCTGCCCTCGTGGAGCTGACCTAGCAGGAGAGGTGGAGCTGACCTAGCAGGAGAGGTGGAGCTGACCTAGCAGGAGAGGTGGGCGATAAACAACAGCATGATTAAGAGTCAGAGCAGAGTGACAGGGATGGGGCGAGCGGGGAGAAGGCAGGGCAAGGTGCAGCATCAGATGGAGTGATGGAGTCGGGGCTGCTGTTTAAGCCAAGCCCCGGTAAAGTAAAGGAGTGAGCCTCGTGGACGCCTGGGGGAAGAGCGCTCTATGAAGAGGCAATAGCCAGTGCGAAGGCCCTGAGGCAGGGCAGACTGGCAGCTTTGTGGAAAAGTGGGAAGATCAGTGTGGTTGGAGCAGAGTGGGCCAGGGGGAGTAGAGTGGGGAGGAGGAGGTCGGGGAAGTGGTGGGGAAGATCAGGAGGGACTTTGTATGCCATTGTGGGGACTTGGCTGAGTTTGGGGGAACCACTGCTTTTGAACAAAAAGGAGCAATACAATTCTGACTTATGTGTGCTGGGTGCAAGCAGATTGGAAGGGGCTCAGTGGTACCAGTGAGGAGGCTGCCCGGCTATCCCAGGGGGTAGGGATGGCAGTGGAGGTGGTGAGATGAGGTTGACCAGGTGGATTTCCTGTTGATTAGAGAATTTAGAAGCATCAGAGTGGGAAGCCCTGGGGCGGGATCGGGGTGTCCAGAGGTTTGCTCTCTCTGCTCTCTGGAGCTTGGGGGCACTGTTGGAATGGAGGGTTAGACATTGTGGCTCAGCCGCAGCCCCAGCTCCCCTTGGTCTGCCTGATGTCTTGGTTTGCCGAAAGGGTTCTGCCACTGAAACAAAGCTCAACGCCCTTGTTCTGCTCCAACTCCATCATGTTACAGGTGGGGAGACTGAGGCCAGGGGCTGATGGGCCCAGGGCGGGTCACACGGGGGTCAGTGGAGAGCTGGGGTAGAGTCCAGGTTGCCTGGAGCCCAGCTAGGCTGCTCTCCTGGCCAGTGACACGCCCCCTGATGCTCCCCAACACAGTTGTTGGGAGGCGCTGTTTGCATGGCCTGCCTGCCCCAGCCACTACCCCACCATAGTCTCTCTCCTGAGACCTGGACACTTTCTCCCTTTCTTTTCTCTGTCAGGGATGTACCCAAGGGTGCTGAGACCTTTGGGGTCTCCGGGAGCTCTGGGGTGGAGATCTCCATGGCCTATGATCCAGCACGGGTGACAGAGCCCACAGGAAAGGCCCACTGGCCCCTGAGCGCCTATGTGGATGTGATCATATCTGTGGACACAGCCAGTAAGGACTTAAATGATATCAAGGTAAGATGCTCCTCCCCATAGTAAGGGGCTGCATCTCCCCACCCCCATCCCAGGTAAGAGCCCCCCAAAGCATACCTCCATCCACATATCATCCCACTCAACCAAATTCCACAAAGCTTTTGACACTTGCATCCACGCAACACATTCTGATACAACCAAACACACAAGGCCACCCCATGCGCAACAGCACATGTATATACGCCAATGAATTCTCCCATAAAAACACAGCCTGCCTACTCGCCCTTCAGATTCACAAACACCCCCGCATTAATTCTGTGCTCAGCCTAACACAGGTCCCAGACAAGCCCCCTGCTCTCACATAGGCAGGACTCCGTAGCACCACCGTGCTCACGCGTGCATGCAGACAGATACATATCTGGATGTGCATGTGTGTCCCATACCTAAGGAATAAGGATGACACCCTCCTCACTCGCCCCCAGCCACCCACCACACACACGGTGACCCATTGATTGGACAGGGACAAAACAGGGACCGTGCAGCCTTTGCGAGCAGAGGTCCTGGAGCCCGCCATGGGCTCAAACCCTACTTCTTCTGCCTACCAGCTACGAGCCTACAGGAAGGGCCCTGAGTAGCCTCTTTGTGGACGGGCTCTGTCCACTGGGGACACCTTGGGGCTGTGGAGGTGGCCTGGGTAGGGTACTTGGCATGAGTTTGGGGCCATGGGAAAAGCGCCTGACCACTGGGTGTTTTGTAGGGTTGGGGGGTCATTGTTCCCATTCTACAGGTGACGAAACCTAGGCCTGGAGATGTTGAGTAACTTGTCTAAGTGCCGACAGTTGCCTCTCCTCTCTGTCTTTCTCTCCTTCATCCCCATGGGTTCCTGAGGGGCCAGCCGCTCCCTCTGGGACCTGCCCGTACCCCGTCCAGCCCTCCTTGCTCTTCAGCCCAGCCCTAGGAGCCAGGGAGGCGTCCACGACCTCTCTAGCTGGAGAAAGCAGCTCAGAATCCAAGCCGGGAGCCTGGGAGACATGGACCCTCGGCAGCAGGGGAAACCGGGGAGTCCTCATGCTTGCCCGGCCTCTACACAGGGCTGTTGGGAGGTGCGGGTGACTGCCACATCCCCGGGCACGGCCACCTCTGAAGCTGTGCTGGCTTACGGCTGACCATGTTCCCACAGGTGAAGGTCTCCTACTTCAGGCGGCACGAGGACGATGCCCTGGGCCACAGCGTGCTCTATCTCACTGGCGTTGGTATGTACTGCCTGCCTGGTTCTCCGTACATCCCCTCACCCCTCCGTGTTGGCTGTTGAGGGTCTTAGGGCAGCACTGAGGACCAGCCCATGGCCAGCTTCCTCTACCATCAAGGGGTGTGGCTCCTTCAGAGGCCTTCTGTCCACTCTAGAACTCAGGGATGAAGACCCAGCAATATTTAGGGCCACGGGAATCTGGAAACTGCAATGTCCACGTGTCAACAGCTACACAATGGGCCTCCTTCAACTGGCGTCTCACCTATCACACCCACTGGAACGTCAAGATTCAGCACCAAACCTTAGACAGCCCTGCACCCCTTTAGCCTGAGCCCCAGGCAGCTGGCTCTGAGAACTGTGGAACCAGCACCCAGAGCCTCAGACCTAGTCCCCAACATCCAGAGTCAGGGCAACCAAGAGTCAGCAATTCAGCTCACGTAGATGAGCAAGAAATTCAAGACCCAAAGCGTTGGGTCCCTCCAATGCCCAGAACCACACAGGACTGCCACAAAGGCTTCCTGGTTCTCGTGGGTTTGGGGAGAGGGCAAAGCTTTCCCCGACCTGGATGTTATGGGTGTGTTGATGGGACTGGGTGAGCCCCTGAGGCCTCTTTCTGTCCCTTTTCAGACATCTCCCTCGATGTTGACACGGGCCGCAAAGGCAAGGTGAAAAGGGGCCAAGGCGACAAGGTGAGACTGTCCTGGCTACCCCAAGACAGCGGGGTCGACAGGCAAACCTGGGGATGGTCCCGGGGTGGGGTGGACCCTCCCTCCGGAAGGGCGATGGATTCCTAGGGTCTCTGGTATCTGACAGTGTGGGGAACCCATCTGGGGACTGACTGCCAGATCGGCACAAGTGGGTATTAACCTACACTGTGTGATGGACGTGCTGTGTGACTCCCGAAAAACAGCTCACCCTCTCTGGGCCTCTCTTATGCCACCTCAGAATTGGGACTGGTTCTTGTGCTTGGTGCCTATTCTATTTCCTGGGCTTTATTTGGAACTTCAAATATGGTAGGTGCTTCGTAAAAGGTTGTCGAGTGACTGAATGAAGGCAAGGGGAAGACATGGCTTCTGGTAGAGGAGGCTGGGTAGAGAGTCCCAGGTAGACCCTGAAGAGTGAGGAGGAGGATGGGGTGGGCTCAAGGCATCACCCCCACAGGAAGTATCTGGAAGCCATCCTAGGAGGGTAGAAGATGTGGTGTACAGGGAAAGACCCCAGAGAGGAAGCCTGGGTCACAAGGCTTAGGGGACAAGATGGGGCAGGGAAGCCATGGGTGGCTGTGCAGGTCATTCACTGCACAAGGTTGCTTGGGCCAAGTGGTGAGTGGGGCCTGCGATGCAGATCACGGCTTGGGCCCTGGCTCAGGGCAGCCCGGTACGGTGCCCTAGACCTGAGTTCGAATCCCATCTATGTGACTTGGAGCTCAGTTCCCAGAGCCTCTTTTCCACCTTCTGTGAAATGGGAAAGTGGCTCCCGGGTCCGGTGGGGATGAAGTGGAGGCATGTCAGGAAGAGCCTCACAGAGGCAGGGCCCCAGCCGTCATTCCCGCCTCAGCTCGAACCCCCTTGCAGGGCTTGTGCGACTGTGGGTGGACGGGTCCCACGGGAGTGCTGGGATGAAGAGGGTCTCCCAGGATTCTCCAGTCCCATCAAGGTCAGGGCGAGGCAGCCTCTGCCCCCCAGGCAGGGCCAAAGCTCAGCAGACTGGTGAAGGCTGTTTCTCCCTTCCTCCTCCTGTGTGGTGGCTGGGCGGGGGCTGCTGTGTACGGTAGTGCAGGTTGTTCACTGCACAAGGATGGAGTGGCTTTGGGTCTAGAGACCTGGAGCTCAGTCCCCAGATCTATGAGCCCTCTTTAAATCTTTAAGAAAACCTAGGATGCAGAGGTCTTCAAGCTAACAAAGCAGCCAGCCTTAACCACATCCAGAACCCCTTCCAGAGCCCCCCAGGTCCCCTTGACCCCGAAGCCTTTTGTTTTGCCTCAGAAAAGCTGGCGCTGGGGCCCTGAGGGCTATGGGGCCATCCTGCTGGTGAACTGTGACCGGGATAGTCTCAGGTCCAGGGGCCTTGACCATGCCGACAGCCAGCTGACATCACTGGATGGTGAGTGACAGTAGGGGCATGTGGTGTTGTCCAGGGTGATGGTGCGGGGTGGCGAAGCATTGGGGAGATGGGAGAGGAGCCTGATGCTGGGGTGCCGCTCTCTTCAGACCTGAAGGACATGTCCCCGATGGTGCTGACCTGCGATGGCCCCGACAAACTCTTTGACAACCACATGCTGGTCTTGAATGTGTCATATTCTGATTCCAAAAGATTGGGGGTCTTCTGTGCTCGGGGTGAGTGGCCTGGTGGGGCCTCTTCCCACCCTGCTCTGTCCTCTGCTTCCCACTCTCTTTCTTTCTTCTCTCGTGCACATCTCTCCCTTCCTTCCGTCACCTTTCGTGACTCTCACTACAGCCACCCTGTCAGGACACAACGTGTCACCCGAGGAGGTTCGATAGCTAGTCCCATTTTACAGAGGGAAAACCGAGGCTCAGATGCATGCATTCCCTGTCATAAGCTCACGCGACCACTTGGGGGCGGAGCAGCCATTCAAACCCAGGTCTGTTGAGCGCCAAAGCCCCTCCTCTTTCCACTGCCCCCATCTCCTCCCCTCTGATCCCTGGATGCCTGACAAGCACTGTCCAGACAGGGCGAGGTCGGGGCAGGAGCTAGTGAAGCTGAGGCCCAGGCCCGCCCTTGGAACTGGTCTGCCAGAGATTTAATTAATCAAAGTCTGTGGCTTAAGAAAATACCAGTGCTCACCCCTGAGGTGCTCTACTCATTTTCGTCCATGGCAAGAGGCCTCTCCTAGCCCTTTCTTCTTCCTCTTCGCCCTCCTCTGTTCAGACTGACTCAGAACCTGTCGTTCTGGCTAAATCGACCTAGCAGGAACCAGAATGTTCCTTCGGGTGCATCGATGGTGGCCGTTTAGGCAGAGGCCTGGCCCGAAAACCACCGTGGTACCAGAACGGGAGCAAAGTCTCAGTGAGTGAACTGATGACCGTTCCCGCAGCTGACCAGAGCGTGCCAGGGCGACATTCCCCAGCCAACCCTCAGGGGAGAACGACACGGGGCAGGGTGGAACCACTACATTTGTTTAGTCCATTTTACTACTCGATTTAAGAAAATAATAATAATTTTGCATAACATAAATTTAACTATTTTAAAGCCAACAGTTCAGTGGAATTTAGTGCAGTCTCAATGTGGTGTAGCCACCACCTTGGTCTGGTTCCGAGACATTCTCATCCCTCCCCCAATAAAACCCTGTACTGGTACCAGTCATTCCCCCGCCCCCTCCCCCCGCCCCTGGCATCTACTGATCTGCTTTCCATGTCTATGGATTTGCTTACTCTGGACATTTCATATAAATGGAATCATATACTACGTGGCCTTTTGTGTCCAGCTTCTTTCTCTTAGCATAGTGCTTTCATCGGTCGATGGATATTCGGGTTGTGTTCACCTTTTGTGCCAGATGTTTTGACCTCCTTATCTGGCTTAAAGCTTATGCTGACCGCATGAGAGATATCATGTTAGCCCATTGTACAGATGAGGAGCTGAGGTTGAGAGAGGTTGAGTCACTAAGCTAAGGTCACCCAGCTTGTGCGTGGCAGAGCTGGAGAGGGGCCTCCGTAGACGTAACGCAAAGGCGGCTCTGCCCCTGGTTTCCTCACCGCCCCACACCTCTGTCCCAGCACTGGACCCCAGTGCTGACTCTGGTTCCCCTAGGTGGGAATTCCCTCTCAGACTACAAGCAGGTGCTGGGGCCCCATCATCAGTCCTACAAAGTGGAGCGGCAGCCAGGGGAGCGGAAGATCAGCTTCTACGTGGAGGGGCTCACCTTCCCTGACGCTGATTTCGTGGGGCTGGTCTCCCTCAGCGTCAGCCTGGTGGACACAGAGGTATGTATGGCGTTGGGGGCTGTGTTAGGGGCTGAAGCGCTTGGGGGACCATTTTGGAGGCTCCAGCTGAGCAGGCTGGGGGCTGGGGGGGGTCTTGAGGCCTGATGGGGCTCCCTGCAAGGCCCACTGAGTCCTCATTTTCCCCCCAGACACTGCCCGAGGTGCCCCTCTTCACAGACACTGTGGTCTTTCGCATGGCCCCCTGGATCATGACCCCCAACACCCAGCCCCCCCTGGAGCTGTATGTCTGCAGGTGAGGCCTCACTCCTGCAGCTCTCCCACCATCCCTGGACTCGTAGAGATAGGAACAGAACGCTGTTTCGGGGTCGGCCTCTCATTCAGATGGGATGGATTCATTGAAGGCACCCAAGGGCACAAGCTAGGAATAGGACAGCAACAGGTGGGTGTGCGCCTGTCAGCCCCACCTGCCTTAAGCAGCTCAGGCCTTGGCTAAGGTCACCGACTTACCCTCCAGCGCCCCTGCCCCTATCCTATCCTGCCTGCAGCAGCCCCAGAATATTTTGGGTTTAGTTTAGGCTGTGAGACCAGGCCCTGTTCAGGCTGCCGGCGGCTGTAGGAAACTTAGCCTCGCTCTGGTGTGGGTGTGCTTCTGGGCCTGCAGAGAACACGGGAACCCAGCCTCCAGGATCCGTTGAGAGCCCTGGCCCATCCCAGGTCCCTGGTCCTTCTGCCATCTCTCAGAATCCTTGTCAGGTTCCTGGATGGCTGGGTGAGCCTTGATTGGCAAGGCTACTCCAGGCCCCTGCATCAGAGGTTGGACAAGTGGAAAGGGCCACAGTTGACTTGGAACATAAGCCATAAAGCCAAGAAAGTTGTGACCAAACAGGTTTGCTCTGCTTACCTGGGTCCAGGTGTATATAGATACTCAGAGATAACCCCACCCTGGCTCCTTTGTTTAGGTCAATTGTGTGGAACAGGAGTTGATGGGCTACCTGCCCCCTCACTGCCACCTTAACCAGTTAGATCCAGTCCCAAGGTCACCTGCTCCATGGCTGCCCCTGCTGGCTTCAGTGCCCTGCCTATGGGTTCTGCAGCCCTTGGCTTGCCCCCCTCACCTTGCACCTACCACCTGATGTGATCTGGAGACATTATCCATCTCCATCATTAGTCCCCGAGCCTCTCTAGGGCAGGGACTATTTTGAACCCCTGCATCCAGGGGCCACAGAGGGCCTAATACAGACTGGATCAAGGCCGCCCCATCTATCCCCTGCCTCCCCATCCTAAGGCCAAGGCCACAGTCAGAGGTTGTTATTACGCTCCCCCGTCCTTGTGTTTTGCAGCGTGATAGACCCTCATGGCTCAAACGAGAAATTTCTGGAGGACATGTCTGACCTGGCGTTGAAAGCCAACTGCAAGCTGATCATCTGCCCTTTGACCGCAAATCAAAACGACCGCTGGATCCAGGTGGGTGCAGGAGCAGATCCTGGAAGAGAGTTGGGGTGGCCTGGGAGGCCTGAGCCCTATCCTTCACCTGGCTTTGGGAAAGGGAGCCTGCACAGGTTCCTCATGGCCTGAATTTCCCGCGAGGAAGCCGTGGAAGTCCTGGCGCCAGGACTCAGGGTGGGGGCGCGTAAAGCTTATGGGAACACTTACTTGCCTGCTGCCTGCGTCATTTGTCTCTCTCACTTCCTACCAAACGCCCTGGTGCCAGACAGTCCTCTCCTGGCTGAGGTCCTAAAATGCCTCACCTCCTCCGCTGTCCCCAGCCCCCCACACCCCCCAAGTTTTGGGGAAGCTCTGCTGCCCTGCCCACCCCCAGCCCCCGGGGGCACATCTTGTTTTGAAAAACTACTCTGAGGTCACTGTGGTCTCTTCCTCTCCCCTCCTAGGATGAGATGGAGTTTGGCTACGTGGAGGCCCCACACAAATCCTTCCCAGTGGTCTTTGACTCCCCCCGAGACAGAGGCCTGAAGGATTTCCCCAAGAAGATCCTGGTACGTAGCAAAGAACGGAGTGGGGAACCCTTAGGCGGCTCCTCCTAAAAACATCAGTTTTGCTTGATCCTGGTTCTTTAAGGGACAAAAGGACACAGGCAGTGGGCTCTGGCACATAGGGAGGGAGTGAGAGGTTTGGGCAAATATGCAAATGACATGCAAATTACCCGTTTTGGGAGGCACTGGCCAGGGAAATCCTCCTTGGGGGCCCTTCTCCCCCAAGGGGATGCCAACAGAGGGGTCAGCCCTGGGGAAACCGAACTGCCTTTTGGGTGGGGGGAATGCACCCTTAGTGAGCCCTCAAGGTTCTTGCTTTTATGAACCGGAGTTGGGAGGGGGCTCTGTTCAGATAAAAAGATTTTCTGAACACTTCCTGTGCGCCAGGCACTGTGCGGCCTCCTACGTGCAAGAGCAGCTCTAGCAATTGCGTACTGAGTTCCAGCCACTCCCCTAGCTTTACAAGGTTACTCATTTAATCCATGGAGGAGGACGCCCAAAGTCCCTCTTTCCTGAGGCTCAGAGAGGTTAAGTAACTGGCCCAGGGCCACACAGCTAGTTAGTGGTGGCACCAAGGTGTAAAACCGGAGAGGCTGCCTCCATATCCTCTGTGCCTAACTGCTAGGCTAAACTAGGCTGGTCCCAAATCTCACGGTTAATGCTCGTGTACACCCGATCCACATCTTGGATAACCCCAGTGTCCAGGTGGGGGCTGTGATGGGAAATTCAGGAGCTTAAGGACACAGAGCAGGGACATTCACCCCAGCCTGGCGGGACCAGGGATAAGACTCAGCAGAGGTGACAGTGGGTCCTGCAGGGTGAGTCTGTGGCCAGGGCATTTTTCACTGATTTCTCCTCTCATCTTTATAATTTCCTTCCTTCTACTTTCTTTGGGTTTAATTGGCCGGTTTTTTTCCTAGCTGGAAATGGAAGCTTTCTCTTCCTAATATATATGTTTAAAGCTCTAGCAATTCCCTAGAACCGCAGCTCCACTAGCCCCGTGCAGGTTTCAACGGGCCGTATTTTCATTACCCTTCCCTTCAAAACATTGTCTAATTTCCATTGTGATTACTTCTGCGACCCATGGGTTCTTTAGAAGTGTGTTGCCTAATTTCCAAACGTTTGGGGGTTTACTAGTTATTGCTCTGTTATTGGCTCAAACTTTAATTGCACCATGCTTAGGGTAGGGGGTGATCTGTGAAAAGTGAATAGGGGGTGTTTTACCGGAAGTGGGAGCCCTCCAGGACCGACCCCCGTACTCCCTACCCCAAGAGCTGTCTCTTCTTGTTCTGACACCTCCTTCTTGGCGGGGGGCGGGGGTGTCTTGCTGGTCCTCCCCCAGGGTCCTGACTTCGGATATGTAACCCGGGAAGTCCCATTCTCGGGCGCCTCCGGCCTTGACTCCTTCGGCAACCTGGACGTCAGCCCGCCGGTCACCGTGGGCAGCAAGGCGTACCCCCTGGGCCGCATTCTCATCGGCAGCAGCTACCCCAAGTGAGAGGCCAGGGCCGGGGCGTGGCGGAGGGCATGGGGCGCCAACTGCAGCATCCGCCCTCACACCCCCTCCCCTTGAGCTCTATTCTCCAGTCTGAAAAGAGGTCTTAACTTCCTGCACGGAGTCCTAAAACCAAAGACTCAGAGACCTGGAACCTTTAATTTGAAAGGTCCCGGAATCTTAGGAGAAAACTGGTGCCCATGGTCTATTGGCCTGCCTGCTATTTCATGAGCTTTGTTACCAACGTTAATTACATATAGAGCAGGAGGCCTCACATAAAAAGCCAGATTT